AAACTTCTGGTACGTCAAAACAAACAAACAAACAAACAACAACAACAAACCAAGGCTATTTAACTTGGTCTCGGTTTAAGTGTAAGGGAAACCTTTGAGCTAGGTGAAGGCACCCGCAAGAATGCCTTGGGTTGTAGGAACATAAGGGCACTTTTTGCGGCTTTTGTTTGCGGGACAGGAGAACTTTTTGGAGATGTCCAGAAAGACTACAACCCTGCCCTCCTTTAAGGACAGGCATGATGAACCCTTCGTCTCTTCCCTGGAGGTGGTTTTGCGGGGCTGGACTCCGCCCTGAGCCCTGGATTCCACCTTGCTTTCAGGAGAAATGGGGGCATCAGCACTTGACCGTGGTCAGTATAGTTGCCTGGGAGCACTGAGTGTTGGGAAGCGGAGTGATGGCGTCGGTGTTCTGGTGGCTGGCCCACCCAGGCTCGTCTGGAAATCCCATGGTCTTGTGTAGATTATGTAGACAGAAGGCGGTGGAGGCCTTAACGCTTTGGCTGCTTCCAACGGTGCCCTGCCTCCTGGAACTGACCTGGGTACTCCCAGGTCAAGGGTCAAGGGTCACCGCTCTTGGAAAGGAGGAAGGGAGTGGAGTGGAATGCTGGCCCTGTGGCTGAACTGGGCTCTCGGCATTCCTGGGAGTTTTACTAGTGGCCGGTCCCAGCCACAGAGACGAGAAGGGAGAGGTTGGCTTTCCAGCCTCAGGAACTGCCTGGCCCCACAGGTTGTTAGGGAAATATGGCCAACTTCGGTGATCCTGGACTTGCAGGAAGAAGGGTTTCTGGGGAGCCTGCCTCAGGCCTGGAGTACCCCGTGATTCCGTAGTGAATGTTGATGCAGAGAGACCGTGTCTCCTGCCTGGAACCCCCAAGCTGAGCATGCTCAGGATTGGCTCTTACTAAAGCCAAGGCCCCTGGGTGGGATGGGGGATTCACCTTTCCCTTAGGGCAGCTTCAGCCGGCACCTTGGGGGTCACGGCTCACTTTGGACAGTGCCCCCTGTCCTGGACTTGTCTGTCTTGCCCACTCCTCCCTCCCTTTTGCCCCTGGGGAGCACTTTGGTTACTGGCTCTGTAATTCAACCTGTTGACTCCGGTTTCCTCAGCTGACAAAAGTGGAACCCCCCTTCCTCTTCCTTTCCCTACCTCCCCTCTCTCCCTTTCTCCACCCCTTCCTGCCCTCTTCCCTTTCTGTCTACTCCACTCCCTGCTCGCTCCGTCCTCCCCCCCATCTCCCCTTAGACGGGACTCCTTCCCAGCCTTCCTCCCCACTTACCCTGAAATCTGCCATCTGGGTCTCTCTCTAGAGCTTGAGCCCCCCCCCCCCCCCACAGTGATGTAAGAAACGCAGATACTGTCTCCTCTGCTGTGAAGGTTGTGGGTTGAGGGGGCCTTCTGTCTCGGAAGACAATGTTCTGGGGGCGTGAGGTAAGACACCGCCCTGAGGGAGGTATTGGAGCCACAGCTGAGAGTCAGAGATACAGTCCTGTCCTTAGAGCAGTGTAACGTGATGGCTGTCTGTCTTCCTGTTGTCCCTTGTCCGTTTGAGGCTTGACATCAGAGTGCTGCCACCGTGGCCACCTATATTCCAGGGGTGTCAGGCAACACCGCGTTCTCAGGGGGGTTACAGGTGAGCCTGACATTCAGAGCCGAGGTGCCTGCTTTTCTGAAGCTTCAGACATCACAGACAGTGGTGATGTCTTCTCTTCTGAGGCTCTCACCTCAGAACTTTCATGTTGGAGGACCTGCTGTGGCCCTGGAAGATGCAAGAGGCAGAGTCAGGGATGGGTGGTCCTTCCAGGCTGGCCCTAACTTCTGGGAGACACTCTCGCTTAGAGCTGTGTCGTGAGGAAGGCTCACCCTTCTGACTCAGGCGAGATGTGTCCAGGGTGATACAGTTCAGCCTTGTGTGGCACCTCCGAAGCATTGGGGTCTCACAGGAGCAGTCCACGCCTGTCCTCTGGGCACTAAAGGGTGTGTGTGGAGGATGCCATCCAGCTGGGTTCAGGAAGAGATCCAAGAGAGGGATTGCAGACCTGATTTCCAGAGTTCCCATTTCCGAGGCTGGCCAGTGCCATGGGCAGTGTGGGCACTGTGTCAGGGTGACCCCAGGTGACAGGCGCCTGGGGATGGGGACTTGGATGTTGGAGGCTCTCCGTGCCTCAGTTTCTACAGGGTGTGGTGGGTAGAAGCAGGGTCAGTTCCTATGTGGGGCCTGTGAAGGTGGCTGGCTGGTCTTGGTAGAAAAGGGGGGCATCTGGGGACATCTCTCCCTGGCCCTACAGAGTGGGTGAGATCCATGGGCCAGGCAGGTCCCTGAAGGCCCTGGATGGCATGTGGGGGGCTGGGTAGGTGCTGGATCCTTGTCGTCAGTGGACAAAGACTTTGTTTATAAACAGTTGTGTGACCCAGTTTAGATAACCCAGCGGGGAAGCCAGGGATCAACAGCAACCCTGGCTGGCATTTCTGCTTCAGAGCCGGTTCTTTCTCCGCGGATGTGAGGCATGAGTTTTGCTTTTTACTGTGACTCCAGTGAGGGTGTGGTTCCTGCTTAGTTCCCATGGAAACCTGTTGCTGCTGCCCTTCCTTATAAGGAATATAGGGGAGCCACCTCCCCCCTTCTCATTTTCCTCCTCCAGGGCATGTCTCTGAACCATCTCCTGCTACAGAGATCTGAATCCCATTTGGGAATGAGAAGATTTATCTTTTACGGCAAGGGCATTCTGAGATTTGAGGTTGCCAAAAAGCATTCCTTTCAGAATTTTCACAGCTACACCGGACGGAGGTGGGTCGGGTCCTGCCAAGACGTCCAAGAGCTGCTTTAATTAACTAATTAGTTATCCTCCTCTCCCTTTTTTCTGGAAAACACACCCTGGTTGTCATCGTCAAGGCTTTGGGGAAAGGCTTGACTATGGTGTTTTACCTAAATGACGCGAAATGGACCTGGGGTTTCGTTTTGTGCCCCATAGGTGCCGTTGCTTGGCCCCCAGGCCTCCACTAGGGGGCACCATTGATCACTTAAACTTTGTCCTTCATCCACTCATGGTGGCTGGTTTTGTTTGTTTAAGATGTTATTTTATTTGCATTAGTATTTTGCCTGTATGTATGTCTATGTGAAGGTGTCACATCTTAGAGTTACAGACAGCTGTGAGCTGCCATGTGGGTGCTGGGAATTGAACCCAGGTTGTTCAGAAGAGCAGTCAGCTGAGCCATCTCTCCAGCCCATGCGGGTCATTTTAAAAACTGGTCATTGGTTCTGTTTCGTGTTGGGGGCGGGGCTGTCATACCGTCTTTGGGGAAGATTTTTATTTTTCTAGTCAGCAACTTGTCCAACCAAAAGCAGCGTTTGGTCGACTTCAGATGAGATCTGGTGACAGATACCTCTGTCCTCTTTGTCCCAGGGACATCCTGATCACCAGCGTGGATGCCATGACAACGTTCAAGGACCTCTGTGAGGAAGTGCGAGACATGTGCGGCCTGCACCAGCAGCACCCGCTCACCCTCAAGTGGGTGGACAGCGAAGGTAGCCGCTGTCTCGGGATGGTCAGCCTGAACTCCAGGGCTTTGGCTAGGCAGCCTCCCCCAAGTACCGCTGAACTCGCTAGAGCCAACAGTTCCTGAATAGGGTGGCTACAAACAGGGTAGACAGGACCTGAGGCAGTCGGGGGCCACACTAAAAGCAAGGCAGAAAGGGGGTGCTTTGTGGGGGACTCAGCTCAGCTGCAGGGGAAGCTTTGTGCCCCTCCTGGCCCCCAGCCTACACAGCTCCTTCTCTGACTTGCCTTATCCTGGGGTGTTCTGGCAGCTGCTTGAGGAAGGCCTGGCTCTTCAATTCCCTAGAAGAACAGCGAGGCATCTGTTTCCCACTTCTTGATTTCTCTCTCTCTCCTCCCCTTCTTTCCCGTCTCTTACTCTCTTACTTTCTTTTCTCCCTTCTCCTCTCTCTCTTTTTCCCTTTCTCCTTTCCCTCCTTTCTGCCCCTCCTCCGCCTCTCTTGCTTTCTCTGAGTCCCTCTATCCTTGTCTCTGTTTCTTCCTTTCTCCTCTTTCCTTCCCACATTCAGACTCATAGAAACTGGGATGAGACAGGGCGGGGGTGGGGGGGTCGGGAGAGACTCCTTTTGCACAACCGACTACAGCTGCCAGTCGGAAGAACCGTGGGGCAGGCAGAACACTTGGCTTCCCCCATTTCAGCAGAATTACAGATACATGGGGCTGCTTGTACGCCTCTCTGTCCATCAAGCCTAGAAAGCAAGGACCTTTTCTTTTACCTAGGCCACCTGGAAGGAAGTTCTAGCTCTTGCTTGCTGCCTAGCAGGCTCTTAGAGCTCCCAAGGCTGTGAGTGAACGTGACTTCCTTCTGGGGCTGATAGGTTCTTTCATGGGAAGCTGAGGTCCCACGAGGGAAAATTAACTCATTGGTTTGGACGGCTGTTGTGGAGTCTCTCACGCTTGCTCTGTGCTGACCATGAGCAGTGAGACTTTGCCCACCCAGACCGCTGTCTGAAGTGCTGAGTAGCTCAACCCTCTTTGCCTTCGTGCCTCGGTCGCCTCATTGGTGCCTCTTGCCTCCTCCCCCTAGGCGACCCTTGTACCGTGTCCTCGCAGATGGAGCTGGAGGAGGCCTTCCGCCTGGTGTGCCAGGGCCGGGATGAAGTGCTTATCATCCATGGTGGGTGAGCTGGAGGTCAGACCCTTCCTCTGTCCACTCGGGCTGCTGTGGCAAACACCATAACCAAAGCCACGTGGGAGGAAAGGATTCGTTTAGCTTACACATCCTGATCACCGTCCATCTTTGAGAGAAGCCAGGGCAGGAACCTGGAGGCAGGAGCTGACGCAGACATACCTACCCAGGAGCAGTACTGCCTACAGTGGACGAGGTCCTCCCACACCAGTCAAGAAGATGTCACACAGACTTGCCTAAGGCCAATCTGATGGAGGCCTTGTCTCAGTCGAAGTTCCCAGATAACCCTGGCTTGTGTCAAGTGTACAAAACCAACCAGAACATAGCCTGAGGGGCTCTCCTCAGCTATGGGGATCTTTGTCTGACTCCCTGGTGATTGGGAAGACACGTGGAGCCTGCCAGTAGAAAACATGACGATGTTCTTATGTGTGAACGGAGGTGGCAACAGAAACATATTAATTACAAACCGTTTGGCCTATAGTTCAGTCCTATTACTAACTAGCTCTTACATCTAAATCAGCCCATTTCTATTAATCTATTGCCATGTGGCCATGGCTTTTACCCGTCTGCTGGCATGTTGTTCCTTGGGGCTGCTCACATCTCTCTAAACTCTACCCCTCCTCATCCCATTCCTTAGTTTGACTGCCTGGCTATTGGTCAGACAGCTTTTATTATTCACCAGTGAGAACAGTGCATATTTGTAGCATACATAAGCATCCCTTAGCACTTATGTATTTTTAAAAGTAAATTTATGGGATTGAAGAGATAGCTTAGTGCTTAAGAACACTTGTTCTTGCAGAGGACCTGGGTTCTGTTCCCAGCACACACATGGTGGCTAACCAGTGCCTCTTCTGACTTATGCAGGCTCCCACGTGCATGTGGTGCACCCACATTGAATCAGAGACACGCACGTACACATAAAAATAAATTAATTAATTAGAAATGTATCGTTTCATGTATTTATCTATTGTGTGTATGCATGGGTGCCACAATCCGTGTGTTGAGATCAGAGGACAGCCTCCATGAGTTGATTCCTCATGACGGAGGTCCCCGGGATCGGAGCTCAGGCTTGATGGTAGGCACCTTACACCCTGAGCCATCATCTGACACACACACTTACGTTCTGCTGGGCCTCGTGGCACAGGCTCGTAGACAGACTGAGAACATTCAAGACAACTCATGCTGTAGAGTTCATGAATGCCAGTGTGGACAGCTTAGCGAGACTTGGCTTCAAAATAAAAAGTAGACAGGGCAGAGCCAAGGATGTAGACTCGGTGGAAGAGAGCCTACCTAGCGTTCTCAAGACCCCAGGTTCAGTTCTTAGCGTGGCTTTTAAAGGTCGGTTTTCTAGATAATCGCTGTGCTTTCATGAGAACTGCTGGTTTTCCTTTGGCAGCTCTGCTCTCCGAAAGCATTTTTTCCCCCTGGAACTTACAAGTGGGGTTTGACCACGTGGGCTTTTGAGGTTCTGCTGAGGAAGGTCTTCCAAGAGTGGTCTCATGGGGACTGTGGAGAGCGCTTTGACCAGGGCAGGACTTTGCCTGAGAGACAGTGTTAACGGTCCACTGTTACTAACCTTGTCCTTTTCTTTCTTTCTGTCCAGTTTTCCCAAGCATCCCGGAACAGCCAGGCATGCCTTGTCCTGGGGAAGACAGTGAGTGTTCAGTTTCCTTTCAATTTTACTTTGTTTTACTTTATGTGATATGATGTTTTCTGCCGGTTTCTGTGTCTGTGAGCCATGTGAGCACCCGGTACCTGCAGAGGCCAGGAGAGGGCGTCGGATCCCCTGAAACTGGAATCATAGTTATCAGCCCCCATGTGGGCGCTGGGAATCAAACCCAGATTCTCTGCAAGAGCAGCCGGTGCTCTTAACCCCTGAGCCATCCCTCCAGCCCGAGTGCTCCATTTTTAAATTTCTAACATGTGCCATGTGCTACAGGTATCTGGTTCGTCGTATCAGGGTGGTAGGTGGGTGCCTTGTGTGAACCCGAGTCGTTCACCAAGATGAGGAATCCAACCTCAGGGTGAACGGACCGTAAACTTGAGAGCTCTTTCACTTTTGCTGGCTCCCCCGGTTTCCATGGATATGATGCAGCTGACTGGTGCTTTGTCGGCAGTTGGGGAGGTGAGGGAAAGAGGTGTGGCCGGCCTGGTTGTCAGGTGGCACAGTAGAAGGTCCACAAAGCTTCCTGGTTTGTTCCATGAGGAAAATGCCCAGGCCAGGACGCCTGGACACTGCTCCTATGCGTCTGTACCGCTGTATCTGCTCCACGCAGACCACTCCGGGCCTGGCCTTCCTGTCTTGTGTTGATCTGTTGATTTTTTTTTCCTCCTCTGGTCTGTTGGTTGAAGATGAGGGAAGCAGGTCCTAGGAGTGGCGGGATCCAAGGAGAGCTTGGCCCTTGCCTCTGATTGTATCCTGGAGGCCATGCTTGGGTGCTAAGGAGTGACAAGGCTCCTGGGGGTGACAACTCTTGGCTTCCCTGGCCGATGAAGAAGTACCTGAGGTTGCACAACCCAGTGTGATTAGGAGGCAGGTGCTCAGCTCATGTGTTTTGCCTCCGGTAGGATGGGGAACCGGCCCAGGGCCACAGGGTAGGACAGCAGGTGAGATTATCGGTCAGGTGTCTATGTGTGTGTATGGGGTGTTGCCCTAAAGAGGCCTTTGACAGACTGGGTGGTGTGGAACCCATGACACGGGATTTTCCAGCCCAAGTCCCAGGTAGCCCGTGCAGAGTCCTTAGGGCAGGTGGCCAGCATGTTGTTTCCTTGTCCTTGTGGAATACTCCCTAATGCTCCAGGACCCTCCCTCTGGGGTGCCTGCGTCCCAAGGAGGGACAGGCATCTGGACAGCGTGTGTATGAGTATGTAAAACAGTAACATAAAGCGTGGGCTGGCAAGATGGTTCAGTTCTCACCTGATGACCTGAGTACAGTCCCTGCAGCCCTACTGAGTTGTCATCTGCCTCCAAACACGCAGCTAACACGGTACTCACATCATATGCACATACACGTCACACTGGCACACATATATCTGCACTCACATACATCATACACGCATATGTATGCTCACACAATGATAACAAAGTTCTAAAATTAAAAAAAAAGATCAGGAAAAAATGCATAGCTCAACAAACGGCATTTTAAAAAAGAACAAGCTGAAGCAGCCGAGGAGGGAAGATGAGGTCGCCCTGTCCATCCCCCTCCTTGACCTTCACACTGCCTGCGGGTCAGCAGGGACATTTCGGGTGGTGCCTGGCTGTCACCTGGATGGATTGGCTGTGGTAACAAGATTATGTTCATGTGTTCTGCCTTACATCCAGGTGGCCCCTGTAACCACTAGAGGGTTTGTGCTTCTGCCTCGGCTCTGTCTCAGCTCTGTCCCAGGGTGCAAAACCTGCCGGTTTGCTGTTTGTGTGTAAATGCTGTAGGGAGGGTCCCTCGAGTGGGTGGCCTGTCACCATACAGTTCTGCCACTGGATGTCTAAGAGCTTGGGGTCTCTGTTGAAGTGGAAGCTGGGTGTGACGAGGTGGGTCCGTTTTGTCCTGTGGGCATGCAGAAAATGCGGCTGAGCCTTAAGAAGAGCCTTAAGTAGGTCCTTGAGATGCTTGCTGGGGTGGCTCCGGCTCTGATAGACACTCAGTTTTGTCAGAACATTCCATGGAACCTTTGCTGAGTACCACAGGAGATGGGTGGATGATTGACAAGCCAGGGTCTTCCTCTCGCACTTAGGACTGTCCCTTCCCTGGCTGGCTGGTGCACTGGGGTACAGAAAGGCCTTCGTCTCCTTGCAGTCTGGACTGTGTGAAACAACAGGGTCCTGGCACAGGGTCTCCCACCTGATGTTTGTACCCGTCTTTGACATGCCAAAACCGTGTGACTTCACTGCCCGCAAGAACATTTGTGTTTATAGTTTTGCTGAGGATCAATGAGGAGGGTCTGCATGGTGGGATGTTTGTTTGTTTTTTGAGACAGGGTTTCCCTGTGTAGCTCTGGAGCCTCTCCTGGAACTCGCTCTGTAGACCAGGCTGGCCTCGAACTCACAGAGATCCGCCTGCCTCTGCCTCCTGATTAAAGGAGTGTGGATTAAAGGCGTGTGCGTCACCACTGCCAGGCGTGCTGGTGGGATATAAACGACGAGGGTGAATCTCCTTGAGCTTCAGTGTGAGACGGATGGACAGACACATGGGCAGATCACAGCCAGCGGTGGATACCAGTTTGAAAACTTTGCAGGACCTGGTTGCCGTGGAACAGGCTTTTAGGGACCGCCAGTCCCCAAATCATGACATAGAGACTTAATAATTATGGAAACTCATCCTTTGCTTAGGCTTGTTTCTGACCAGCTCTTATAAATAACCCATTTCTGTTCATCTTCTGCTGTCAGGTGTCTCGTGGCTTTCACCTCTCCTCTTGCATGTTCTGCTTCCTCTGCATCTGGCTAGCAACTCCACTTTTCTCCTTGTCAGAGCTCTCTCTGTCCAGAAGTCCCGCCTATACTTCCTGCCTAGCTATTGGCTGTTCAGCTTTATATTACACCAACCACAGAGACACATCTTCACACTGTAAAGGAATATTCGGCATTTCTAAGACAGTAAAACTATATGCAATAAGAGCAATTATCAGTAAGAATTACATTTACAATGTCCATTTCATTTACATTTGGCAAATTTAGAGAAAATTCTCTACTGTGTGTCTTATCTTAGTCCACAGTTTTATACCTAAACCATTTCTTGTCACAAATTGTATTTCCATCCTAAAAAGATCTTTTAAACATCCTTTTAGATAAACTACTTAAGCTTTTCTGTTTCTCAATCTTAAAAACTTTACACCTCTTCTGTCAGTTTCTTTCCTGAATTTGGTAACAAGGAAAACTGTAAAACTGTAACTATCTTTATTCCCACCAGAGGTCTTTGATTCCCACCAGAGACCTGAGAAGGCTAAAATGTTACCTGACTGAATAGTAAGTGTAGAGAAAGCAACTTCTAAAACTATAGAAATGACAGAGACATCGGACTGCCTGAACAGTCACCTGCAGCATTGGGACATCCATCTGCAGTCTACAGGCCTAGAATGTCCGACCGATTTTTCTGTGAAGCAGGAGTTTTTGAAGGACTTACCTACTTGTCCTGGCAAAGTCTGGCAGTTGCTTTCTTTTGTGTCCTGCTTGTCCAGTTTGGACAGCATACTGTCAGCGGTCAAGGCAATGGGAGTTTCTTGCCCAAATAGCCAACTTTCGTCACAGTGAAAGCAAACTTTGTATGGAGGTTCTTTGATGCCCATCATCATTTTTTGAAGTAAACTGGTGCTGCCAGGAGCAGACGTGTCTCACTGTCATGAAAGCCTTGTGTTGCTAAAACATTTTAGATGCCATATTCTGTAAGTCTTTGAAGTTTTTGAAGATCTCCTGTTATCTAAAATATGTCTCTGTTATAACCTTGAAAACACACACACACACATATACACGTACAAGCCCCATGCAGTCTGCTTTGTCAGAATTCTTTTGACTTCTGGGAACCTTAATCTATCTTTCTTTCTTTCTTTCTTTCTTTCTTTCTTTCTTTCTCTCTCTCTCTGTCTCTCTCTCTCTGTCTCTCTCTCTCTCTTTCTTTCTTTCTTTCTTCAAGACAAAGTTTCTCTGTGGTTTTCTTTCTTTCTTTTCTTTTCTTTTTTTTTTTTTTTTTTGGTTTTTCGAGACAGGGTTTCTCTGTGGCTTTGGAGCCTGTCCTGGAACTAGCTCTGTAGACCCAGGCTGGTCTTGAACTCACAGAGATCCGCCTGCCTCTGCCTCCCGAGTGCTGGGATTAAAGGTGTGCGCCACCATCGCCCGGCTCTTCTCTGTGGTTTTGGAGCCAGTCCTGGAACTTGCTCTGTAGATCAGGTTGGCCTTGAACTCACAGAGATCTGCCTGCCTCTGCTTCCTAAATGTGTGTGTGTGTGTGTGTGTGTGTTAAAGGTGTGTGCCACCAGGGGCTGGAGAGATGGCTCAGAGGTTAAGAGCATTGCCTGCTCTTCCAAAAGGTCCTGAGTTCAATTCCCAGCAACCACATGATGGCTCACAATCATCTGTAATGGGGTCTGGTGCCCTCTGCTGGCTTGCAGGCATACACACAGACAGAATATTGCATACGTAATAAATAAATAAATAAATATTAAAAAAGAAAAACAACAACAAAAGGTGTGTGCCACCACCGCCTGATTCTTCTTTTTTCTTAATTTTAAAATGGGATTTTTTTCTCTTTTTTTTGTTTGATTTTTTTTTTGTTTTTTTGGTTGACTAGATACTAGCTTTTGTCAGTGGGTTGTTCTGTACTCATTGAGATGATCGTGTTTGTTTGTTTGTTTATTTTCAAAACTCCTGTTAATGTGCCCACTACACTGACCATGTTGTTTACTGACGTGGAGGGTGGTGTGGCCATGAGTGCAGGGACCTGTGGAGACCAGAAGAGGGCATCAGATCCCCTGTAGCTGGAGTTACAGGAAGCTGTTAGCCTCCTGGCCTGAGTGTGGGTGCTGAGCACCGAACTGGGTCCTTGGGGAAAGCAAAAAGGTTGTTGTTGTTGTTGTTGTTGTTGTTGTTGTTGTTGTTGTTGATTTTCAAGACAGGGTTTCTCTGTGTAACAGTCCTTAACTGTCCTGGAACTCACTATGTAGACC